ACACACACACACACACACACACACACACACACACACACACACACACAGGCAGAAGGCAGGGACACCTACTTGCACTCCCGGTCCTCCAGGTCAAAATGCGGGTTGAAGTTGATGAGGATCCGCTGGTGCGCCCCCGGAGCAGAGATCACCCAGGAGCACCTCTGGGATGGGGGGTATGACATGGGGTACCCGGGGGATGTGAGGTAGCTGGCCGTGGAGATCCGGATACTTCCTCCACATTTATCTGCAGGAGGAGGCGCAAAAAGCAGCTGATCAGGAGGAATAAATTCATCTGGCACAAGAAACGTTTATTATAAACATGTCATTGACAAAAACATTTATAATAAAACATGTCAGTGATAAAAACATTTATAATAAAACATGTCAGTGGAAAAAAAACATGTATAATAAAACATGTCAGTGATAAATATATATATAGTATAAATCTTTTGTTCTTTTCTTCAGGGTTTGGTAACAACTGCTGAGGAAATGCGGCTGTTGTTTTCACTTGCTGTGATTTATACACTTTATTTGGAGTAAACATTTTACAAGTTCATTGTAAGAAGCCAGCCCAAACAAATAAAAATAAAATAAAAGGAACGCAATCAAAAAATAAAGTAAAATTTATAGATACATTTAATTCCACAATTGAAGTTTAGAATAATAAAAACTAAGAACAGCATACATTTCCTCTCAGAATAAAAATGAAGCGCAGATTTTTAATGAAAAGTCTGAAAGGAAAGGAGTTTGTTGTAAAACTTTCATCTGAAAACGCGTTTCAACTAAATATATTTAAAATAGTAAAAGCTTTAACAGTTAAAGCTTCAAACAAAATATTACTATTATTGGAATTTATTTACAAAATGCGCATCTTCAAAATAATGCGGACAAACAAAAACAGGCAAAGCTTCTTGTTTGAACTTTATTTATTAATAAACAATAAACTATTAAAATAAAATTAAAGTTTCACACAAGCAGTCTCATTCCTAAAACTTATTCTTACTAAAAGTTCAATATTAAAATCGAGACGTCTAAGAACGTATAACGTTAAAATAATAATAATAATAATAAATAATAAGAAAACAACAACCATTGAGGCGTTTTCAGATAAATGCGGAGTTTGTCCAAAAATCAGCACAGATCAGAGGCTAATCTCCAAAAACATGCTGAGATTAGCGGCTTGTTGGTTGAGCAAATAAAAGCTTTATTTATGGACACATCACGTGCCACACTTACCGTTTTTGAAAGCCTCGACCACCTGGAGGAATCCCATGAAGAGGACAAAAACTAATCCACAATGCATCTTCTGTCTCCACAAAAAGAAAAATTACGAAAAGAAAACAAACGAGTTCCAAAGAAACACACCACCCCCCCAGTTGCGTTTCCTCTTTGTTAATATTTCTCCTCCCAGAATCAGAATTGTGCGTTGGCTCAGCGGAGTGCGGGGCTCAGGACTCGGGCATCCTGCCACTCAGCTCCTGCGCCCTCTCCCCGGCTGTCCTGTCTCCGGCGCGGGCGGTGTCATGTCCAGTAAGAGACGCTCCTCCGTCAGTCCTTGGCTGGAAAAAGGAAGAGAATCAAACAAGAGCTGACAATCAACTCTAGAAGGCACTTTTCTCTGAGATGTGTCCGGGTGGGAACTCCTCCTGACTCCTGTTAGCACAACCGCGCACTGAGCCGATGAGCAGCAGCAGTGCGTTAAGTTTTCTCCTTCTCTCTCTCTCTCTCTCTCTCTCTCTCTCTCTCTCTCTCTCTCTCTCTCTCTCTCGCTCTCTCTCTCTCTCTCTCTCTCTCTCTCTCTCTCTCTTGTTTTCCGCCCTAACAACTACAAAGGAAACCCAAACAAGTGATGGAAGATTACTCAACAGGACCAGTGTGCAGCCACATGATGCAGAACCGGACTGGTTTCCTTATAAAGGCCGGATCTTCACCTCCAGTTTTCACTTCTTTAACATCATGGAACAAATGTTCACAGCGGGTTTTATTTCTTTCTCTGCTTTTGAGAGCTCTTTACAAACAGACAATAAAATTCTGACCCTGGCACTTTTAAAATTAGAGGAATTCAATAAATTTAATTAAATGTCATTTTTTAATTCTGGACTTACGAGCTACAAACTGGAACACGAAGTCTCTGATGATTAAAGCGTTTTGTGCAGAGCAGAGGGTGAACTTCAACGTTCGGATCAAATCGACACATGTGTGGCGATGTGAATGAAAATAGTTCAGTTCTGGACAACCTTCAACACAAGTTAAATTTAAACGCACGTGCACTCACCTGCGTTTTGTTTTGGTTTAGACTTCGCAAACCCGCAGACATCCAGCGCCTCCAACTTGCGCGAAGCAGACTCGCTCTTCACAAACCAAACGATACCAGATCTTCTCCAGAACGCAACCAAATCTCAACTCATCCTCCAGTCCTTTTCTAAACCCCCCCTCCCACCCTTCTCGCAGCAGAGTCCGGAGCGGGGAGCGTAAAGACGCACAGCCTGCTGTCGGCTCTGCGCAGACACGCTGAGCTCCGTCTCCGGGTCTCACAGCTGAAACACCCCCCGCTGTGCCCGTATGGGAAAAGGGGGAGGAGGGGTATGTGTGTTTGGAGGGGGGGGAGGGGGTCCAGCAGTTCGCAAAGCGTTTCCGGGACTGACAGAAGACAATCGAATAGAAATCAAAGTGTTTTCTTCCAAGTTTCCGCTCCTGCGATCCGTGCGCCGCCGCTGCCTATCCTAACGCCAAATGTGGAGAGTTCGAGTTCCTGCCAGCACCCCCCGCCCCACAACACACACACGCCCCTTCAGAAGGGAGTTGCGCGCTCCTTGTGTTCGTGCGTCGCGGGTGTCTGCAGCCGACGCTCATTGAGCCGCATCCTGGAGCTCCTTTTGGCCGCGGCAGAAACTCCCAGTGAACACGCGCAGGGGCTTCTCTCCCCCACCCCACTACCCCCGCCCCCAGATGAAACCTATCTCTCACTCTCCATCTCTCAGACAATCTGCTGCAGTTTGATGTGATAAAGAGAAGCGGGAAGCTCCTGATATGCTTTAAGGAAGCTCAGATCTGCAGCAGGAGATGAAGAATATTAAGATGAGTGTCATGTTCGGTCCAACAGCCAACAGGCTGTCCCACAGGCAGGCCAGGACAAAACTGGACAGGTTCGGAAGACATTTCAAAGGATGCCAACGATTCCAACTTGAACTTCTTTCCAGCTCGACAATAGTTACAGCTGTAAACTAAACTCTTGTAATAAACTCTTGTAATAAACTCTTGTAATAAACTCTTGCAATAAACTCTTGCAATAAACTCTTGTAATAAACTCTTGTAATAAACTGCATTCAATGTGTTAGTCAAAGAAAAGTTCCAGCTGCGACCAGCTGCTCACTGACGTCACACATATTGTGGGACTCTCACTCCCTGACACCACCAGGCACACAGAAATGAAGAGCAGGCATTAAGCCTCAGTCAAACAGTCATAAAACCTATAAGTCATATTGATGGTTGATCCATAAGAGGCAGAACTTTCTCTCAAAGACTGTTCACGTCTGCTGTAAAGAGAATTCAGAGCTCGTGAGGTTTTGTGCACACATTTGGTGTAAACCTTCCCAAAATTGATCCAACTTAAGCTGTGGGTTAGTAAAAAAAAAGTTCAGTCATGTTCCAACTTCTGTGCATGGGCGTCAGAAGCATCTGTAATGTGTGTGTGTGTGTGTGTGGGGGGGGGGGGGGGGCACTAGTGTGTGTGTGTGCGCTTGCACACGCACCAGTGTGCAAAAAATTGTACACTAATTTACAAAAAAAGCAACATTTCAACAAAATTTTCTTACTTTAATTCCACTTAAAGCATGTTTCTCACCAAGTTTGTGTAAATTCAGCTGTTTTAAAGACATTTCAACTTTAATACACTTCAGATCTGCACTGTTTGTGTTTATAGAGAAATAAAAATAAACATCACCACTGGACTTTTTAACTTGTGTTCAACACTACTCATCTAAATGATGTTTCTAATGAAGTTTGAGGACAATAAGGTGTGGGGTTTTAAAGACATTTCAACTTTAATACACCTCAACACACAGCGTCTCTTACACCTGCAGCGTCTTACAGCGTCACAGTTACTGCTAAGCAAAGATGTTACAGACGTAGCGCTCCTTTCAAGCACCCTCCTAACATGAATATATGTTTATGATCAACCCCCGGTCAACAACTGCCCGTACTAAACTTGTTAAACTGGCAAGCGATCAATACAGAGGTGTCTCCATCTCCTTCACCTGTGCACATTTTCTACCAAGGCAGGAGGAGACGCACAGACACAGGACAGGTAACAAGCTGCTGTGTCTAGAGTTGTAGGTAACTAGGAAAACCTGGAGTAGATTTTAATGGTTTGAGTATTCTCGTATTAATCAAATGGAATGGATTCTTTCACAAAGAAAGAAACTGTGCCGACTGAACTAATGTTTTATAGTAAAAGTGTGGGTGTGTGTGTAAATGGTAAATGGACTGTACTTATATAGCGCCTTTCTATCTTATTTCAAGATACTCAAAGCGCTTTACACTACAAGCTGTGTCCTCATTTACCCATTCATACAGCACTCTACTAGATCTGTACAAAGCTAATTGAACAAATCCTTCTAAAGAGACTAATCAGTGCTTTAGATCACATTCATACACTGATGGGGTACACATCAGAGGCAATGAGGGGTTCAGTGTCTTACCCAGGGACACTTCAGCATGTGACTGCTGGTGAATTCGAACTCCCAACTCTTGCATTGGAGGATGACTGCTCTAACCACTCAGCCACAGCCGCCCCACTCAGCCACAGCCGTGTGTGTGTGTGTGTGTGTGTGTGTGTGGTGGGGGGGGTGGTGGGGGGGGGGGGGGGGTGTCCAAATGAACGTTTTTTGAATGTGGGGGGGACATGTCCCCTTCACATATAATGGTTGCGATGCCTATGGTTCTGTGACCCGTTTGACCCTTAAATGTTTCTACAGTGATGATGGCTTCAAAGAGGCCCGAGTGTTCCAGACTGCTCAGTAAAATGTTTTGACAGTTTTATACACGTCAGCTACATCCTTTAATTCAACAAAATTCAGCTGAGCCACACGTTTTGATGTGTTTTCTGTTTCTTCTTCTTCGTCTTATTTGTATTATTATAATGGGTGACTGAGAAGAGCATTCATCCTCCAATGCAAGAGTTGGGGGTTTGAACCCACCACCAGTCACATGCCGAAGTGTCCCTGGGCAAGACACTGAACCACACATTGCCTCTGATGTGTGTCCCATCAGTGTGTGAATGTGATCTAAAGCCGTCTCTTTAGAATGATTTGGTCAATTAGCTTTG